TCACACGGATTATTCAAAACAAATTCTTAATATATTTGTGAAGAAATCTTTTATTATTTTAAATTACATTATGCATGAGCTACTTTAAGCTGCTTGCATGCATACATCGTGAAACGTGTTACTCTTTTTACACATTAGTTACTCTTAAATAAGAATACACAATATACAAAAAAGATTACTTACCTGGGTCATTTTTTTTTTATCTTTCTCATGGGAATGGAGCTTGTGTAATATGTCATTTGATATATGAAAACCTTGGCTGTAAGTTGTTAAATTTTGTACTTATTGGAGGGGTGGTAAATAAATTGAAGAAGGGATGCCTAGAGAAAAAATGACCTTTTCTCACACTAAGAGAAACTCAGGATTTCTTTTTAGTATTACTTTATAAAAATCAAGAACTTAAAACTTGTATACTATTAAAATATGAATTTTTAGCTAATATTTTGTGCTATTCTAATTGGTATAACAAACTAAAAGTAGTTTAATTAAATCTTGAATGTAAGACACTAAAAACCTTGGGATATGTGCTAAAAATGCCTGACAAGATAGGGTTAAAGGAAGGACATTTCCATTAGTGCTAGCAGGTCAAGTATGTAGCAACTCTTACAAATTCTTGTTTTTAATTGTAGACAGACTTAACAAAAGTAGCTAATATAAAATTCAAATTTTTAGGTTACTGTAATGAAACTTTGGTAAAATAAAACTGAAATTATCTAATCAGAGTTGGTCATATTTGATGTGCTGGTTTGTCATTTTTTTTCCATTGTGATTTATTGATTTGGAAGTACGTACAGAGTATTGTAACTGAAAATGACAGAATAAGAGTTGAAGAAACTTAATGTAAACTTTATGTATAACATTAAGTTTGGATAATGTTATTCTAACTTTATTCCTATGACTTTGAATATTGTGTTCAGTCTTGGGCTCCTTACCTTAGGAAAGACATTGAGTTGTTGGAAAGGGTTCAGAGAATGGTGCTTGGGATGGGGGGGGGGATGTCATGTGAGGAGGGGCTGAAATCACTGTTTTCTCTTGAAAAAAGAAGTTAGGAAGGGGGATCTGATTGAAGTGTTTAAGATTGTAAATGGAATTGATAGTGTTGATGTATCATCTTTTTTTATATTTAAAAGTGAGTAGTAGGACTAGAGGACACAAATATAAATTGTCAGGGTAGGTGTCATCTTTGGCTAAGATAGTTTTATTTTTCTAACAGGGTGGTTGGTTTTTGGAATGGGCTGCTTTCAGATGTTGTAGAGGCAATAAATTTAAGTGAGTTTAAGAAAAAGCTTTAAGTATGAGTGAGAAGGGCTGGCGTATGTATGAACTGCATACTTCCAAGAAGCCTTGCTTTGACAGAATTAATATCAAAATATTGATTAGACAAAGCTGCAACAGTTAGTTGCAACTAGCATCTGTAAAGAAATAATGTTTTGGGACAACATGGGACTTATTGGTCCATCTCTGCTGTTCCATTCTCTAAATTAAATTAAAATAATTTTTAAACAAATCTTAAAGCTTGCTGCTTGACCATCTAGTGTATGTAGGATTCGGAGAGAAGCTTGTCTTTGAAAGAAACCAGTTTTCTTCCATAATAACCGATTTGCCACTCTGAGTACTGACACTCAAGTTGTAGTTTTCCACATCATATTAGACAACTTTTAAATATTGGACAGTGTTACCAATTATGACACTGTTCAGATTAGTCTTAGCTTTTCAATTATAATTAATGTTTTATTTTTCTACTTTCTAACACTTTATTTCCAATGACTTCTTCAAGTGAACACATCTTAGACCAGTGTTGATTTGTACCAGTTTAAATAGTTTCTAAACAAACTATATAACTATAGATGTTGGGAACAGTTTATTTAACTGTAGGCAGTGTTTGTTTTGGTAGGTGCTATTTAAGTTTGGGTGTTCTTTGGATGTTTATACAACTTTCATTAAAATATTTTTTTCTGATTTATTCCACCAGTTAATGTTTTATTTACAGACACCCAGTGCTGATGAGGAAGTGAACTTGCATTTTGTGACTTTTGTTGAAGTCGATGATAGCCTGTATGAACTGGGTAAGGAACTAACCTAAACTTTATGAGAATTTGTGATGGTTCTGTTTTTCGCTAATTGGTTCTCAGCTATACACAAATACTAAACTGTCTTTTATATAAACTACCCAGTTTACTTGTATTTTGGATCAAAAATAGTTAAGTGATTTATTTTTTCTTCAGATCATTCAAGTTATTGTTCAAAATTAAGTAATTAAAAATCCTCCAGAGTGGTTACTTAACTCTTTCAGCATGGGCTGGGTCCCCTGGACCAACCTCATAACCGTTTTGTGCTTGATATAGTTTTTATACTATAACTTTTAAATTAGTAAGTGAATGTTAACAAAATTTGCCACATTATCAGTAAACATTACATGCTTTCATATACGTGTGTGTGTGTGTGTGTGTGTGTCTTGTGCCTTTTTTTCTCTTCATGTGTTCCATATCCAACATGCAAAGTAACTTTCATTTTAAGATTAAAAATACTACATCAGAAATTTTAAAATTTTGCAAGCAAAATCTTTATAATGTCCAGATAATTATCAATTGTTCATAAGAGAACTTTCTTTTATCTGTTATTTTTAGTAACGAATCTCTATGGGTACCATGGAGTTGACTGATCTCGTAACCACAATAAAAATAAAAAAAATAAAAATTAGGAACTATATATTATGCCCTTCATTCTAGAATGAATGCAAATTATAATGTAAAGGTTACTAAGCCTTTTAAAGTTTTGCACATGGAGAATATGAATTTTTTTTTTTTAGGTTTTGTATATACATTTGAATAACTAAAAAATCAAATTACTGCATTAATACCATAGAATTCCACTAATTTATAAAGCTTAGTAACTAAGATGTATTTTATTCTAAAAAAAATATGAAATTTTGAGCAGACTAAAGACGCAGCCTACCATATTGAAATCTTGGTTCAAAAACAAGAAATAACATCCAAGCTCATTAAAATGGCTGAGAAAGCCACTAGGGGCCATTTTTAAATTCAGATTGGTTATTCATGACATATATAGAAGTGTATATTAGGAGCATTTCCAAAAATGGAAAAAGGTGGGCAGGGTGCTGCTGTTTGATTTATTATTTGAGCAAGATAAAACTTATTTATTTTATATTCTAGCTTGTCAATATTGGTAATTTGAGTTCCTAATTTGTACGAAACTATAGACTTAGTATTTTGACTTCACAAAAAATCTAATTTGAGCCACTGCTGCATTCAACATACCATGTGAGACACAAAAATCAATGTTTCTGTTTTTTTTAATATTTACTTTTAAGAAATTGAATAATTATAATCTACAGTTTGATACCAAACTTACTGACATAAATTCATGAAATAGTAGTTCAATAGAATTTTAAATGTAAGTCTACAAACAAGATGACATGACCTTTCACCCGTGACCGATCTTGAAAGGGTTAAAAGAACATCCTGGATCTTGTCAAACAAATCTCTGGAAAGGTTGTCTGTAATTTCTGTAGATGGTGCCTAATCTGTCAAATATTCACTGAGAATTGTTACTGACTGTTGCTTGTAGCCTCTTAAGGTTAATATTAGTGTTAATACAATTGGTCACTACATAACATGGAATATTTAAACTACTTGATGATACTTGTCTTTCCCTGTAGTTGTGTTACAGTATTCTTGTGTGTAGGTACAGAATTACTACATACACCATTAGTATTGACTGAACTAGATAAATTAAGATGCAGGACTTTTCGCACGAGTTTTTAATTCTAAATGCTAATTAATTTTGGTGAATTACCAGATAATTTTATACTACGGTCTACCTAAAATAGAAAACTTGTCTTATTTTTCATAAGATGAACACGCATTACTTCTTCAGACCGGTTAATTCCGTTACTTTTACAAACAATTAAAATTGGTTTATCTGTTTGGACTGATGTTTCTCTATTAATATCTATCTGTAGATGGTCGTAAAGCTTTTCCAGTTAACCATGGTCCAACTTCAAAGGATACTCTGTTAAAGGTAAGTCTACTTTTTAATTTGTTGTTCTTGAATAGGTTTTCCTGTTCTCCTGTGAGTAGCAAATGGTTGTTAGCACTGAAAGATCCAAGAAAATTGATTAGTAGCCTGTCAATAATGAAATTAGTCTTAAAGTTGTCACTATTTTACATTAACTATACAAGCCTTACAATGTATTAGCTAAATTTAAAACACTTAACGAGCCATATTACTCAACTTAAATTCCACTAATTGTCCAGCTCCCAACGAAAATATCTAAATGTACGTACTTAATGTTGTATGATGTAGACCTGGAGAGCAGTGGATGTGTTCGGTATGCACGTACTTAATGTTGTATGATGTAGACCTGGAGAGCAGTGGATGTGTTCGGTATGCACGTACTTCTCCAGGTCTACATCATACAACATTGGCAGTGGATGTGTTCGGTATGCACGTACAGTATAAAGTACAAATCCAGGATTTCCTTACTTTAAGGGTTAGTAGTTATAATGTTTCACGTATGAAACATTTAACTGTACAGTATGTTCAACAATCTTAGCCTACTATGTTAAATGTTGGTTTTACTAAAGTAAATTCTAAGAACAAGTTATGGGACTAATTATTAGATTGGTCAGTAATCCAGATATTCTTGCTGTAGTAGATATTAGTACTTAAGTTGTACGTTTTATATAATTGTAACAAAAGCTGTTCTTAAAGGTAAATCTGATGCTTTTATTTAAGATTGTGGGCCTACAAGTGAGTTATGAAGTAAAGCATTACTTTGTTTACTACGTACTTATAGGCTTAACTTGTAAAATATGAGCTAAACTTCGTCAAACCAGTTTTTTTAGTGGATTAGTTATCCTAGAAGAGATTCTGAGTAGCTGGTACCCTGCACATAACTGTTGACCTTTAAATATAAAATAGCTTAATATTTGGAACTAATTGGTAATGATAAGAGAAGTTATAACCTGAATGTTAATGTCAGCCACTGTGTTTAAAAGTTTGTAATTATAATGTTTGTTGGAAATCGTTCCACGATGGGTAATTGTTGTGTATTATGTAAATTAAATCTTGTTCAACTTGTAGGATGCTGCTGCTGTGTGCAGGAAGTTCATAGAGCGGGATCCTGAGAATGTCAGATTTAATGTTGTGGCCCTGGCAGCAGCTGCTAACTGAAGGTCTGTTCTAGTCAGATCTCATAGGTAAGATTGTTAACTGTAGTTGTTGAGTCGAGAGTAATTAGCAAACTTGTCATGTTGTGTTGTAACGTATGGACTCTGTTCTATGGATGGGGTGGCTTGTAATCTTGTGTGTTGTAACATATGGAGTCTGTAATCTTGTGTGTTGTAACGTATGGAGTCTGTAATCTTGTGTGTTGTAACGTATGGAGTCTGTAATCTTGTGTGTTGTAACGTATGGAGTCTGTAATCTTGTGTGTTGTAACGTATGGAGTCTGTAATCTTGTGTGTTGTAACGTATGGACTCTGTAATCTTGTGTGTTGTAACGTATGGACTCTGTAATCTTGTGTGTTGTAACGTATGGACTCTGTAATCTTGTGTGTTGTAACGTATGGACTCTGTAATCTTGTGTGTTGTAACGTATGGACTCTGTAATCTTGTGTGTTGTAACGTATGGACTCTGTCTTCAACCTGTGCAACAAGGTTGCTATGATTATGACGTGTTTTAACAGTGCAGTTCTTTCATGAACTGTATTTCCTGTATTTGAATAGTTTCTTTGGTTTTAAAGCAGCTGCAGAGAATTAACACAACTAAATCTGCTAGTTTACAGATGTAAACTGAGCTACAGTTACCTTCTTTAGAAGTGAATAAATGACATAATTTAACTTTAGTTCGACATCTTCAAGTTTTCATTAGTTGGTAAAAATTTCCAAGTAAAATTACTTATTAGTTACAACTACTTCTTGCTGAACAACATTTGCTTTCTGTTCGTGTTGACGAGTGGGGAAACCTCTTGGAGTTTGGTCCAGAAACGCTATCTTTTAGAGCATAAATGTGTGAATAGTGTCTTAATATTAAGATTTGTTTTATAAATATGTAAACAATTTTGCCAAATGTATTTAGCTAACAAGGAAATCATAGTGAAATTTGTATTTTAAACTTTGATATTTAGACAACATAATCTAAATCTTTTTTATATAGAATATAACTTCAGACATGCATGTTATTTATAGTTTATAACCAACATAGGTAATGCATTTCAATGTGATTTTATTGTTTTTAATGTCCTAGAGTCAATATCCAGCAACTTAAGGTTTTGAAAAGAATTTTTTTCCTATTGTTTCAGCTCACCTGAAATTAGGCTTAGTGTGGATTTTGACTGATTATTCCTTCGTGCTGACATCATTGGAATATTGTGGCCTTTTTTTGGATCTGTTCACTTCTTAAAAGCAGTTACCTAAACTTTCAGCTAAACTTACCTATTTTGCTATGGCACTGTTTTTGTATGTCATTGTATTTACTCTTAACAGTTAAACTCTTGACACATTGGTCAGTTTTTATAATATAAATTTTTTGTTATTAAATTCTAGAGGCATTGCTCATATAGCCAAAGTCATTTTATGTGTTTATTACTGGTTATTTTATTTGTACTTAATATTTTGATATGGATTAAAATGTTAAATACTCATTGTTATATTGTCAAACCCAAATATTTTCAATGTTTAAAATGAGTTACAAAACTTTCTAACATCAGCTTTTCTCATTATCCTTGAAACTAAATTATTTTTAACTAAATTCGCATAAACCTAAATATTAAATTTAGCAAATAAGGGTTTTGTTGTTGGCTTACATAGCTGTAGTGCAGAGAAACTACCTATCACAATATATCAGTACATGGCTAATTTTTAGCTTGCTTATACCCTTAGTTTTGGAAGTTCGTAAGTAACCAAAGCATTTATAGGCTATTTGAATTACTTGTTGAATGTTGTTTTTAACTTATGTAACTTGTTTTAGCACAATCCTTTAATATTTTGACATTCCACGCCTCTGTATCAGTATTAATTGTCTCAATAAAGAACGCTGCTAATTGGCTGTCTTTTTCTTGATACACGAGGCCTAAGACAAAATGTCTTAATACTACAACTATGTACTGATGTTACAACTTGTGAACTTCTGACCTCTGTTTAACAACTTCAGACTTGAATAGTACAAAAAAAACCTGAGTAACTTCAATAGATGGACCTTTCTTCATCAGGGGCAAACTAAGTTAAATATGATGTGAAGTGATATCGTGGTTATCGAAAGTAGCTTACGATGAACACAAGTGCCTTGATTAGGTTTGTAATCATTCTCGTGTTCAAAATTCTTAACACAGTTGATTGACTGCTAACAAATAATGCACTAACGGCTTCTGTTAAACCTTGGTCTTGCTAGAAAAAAAAATTAACTCGTTAATACTTGAAATGCAGATAACGTATGATATAGGCTAAGTTCACGTGTAAGCATAACTTCACAAATGAGAATTCGGAAGCAACAAACGTCAAACTTACGGAATTATTTACCAAATTTTCTCGATAATCAATACACTATCTAAATCACTCGGTATTTACTTTAACTGATTAAGTAATTCAACGACTAATATTTATAGCGTACTCCCATTTCTATATAATACACGAAGTTTCTAGAGTTCTTTCACAAATTCTGGATATAATGCGTCATCATTACGTAATGGCACGATACCCCTAGCGAACAAATAACTAAATTAAAATATTAATAATATAGCTTGCGATTAGTATTAGGTGATTGAAAAAATTATATTCGGTTTTACTTTGCTTGAACTCGTAAGTTGATGAGATAAATTTGTCTTTAGATGTATGGAGGCCCAGAAAATTGGCTACAGGTTGTCTACTCAATGTGAGGGCTAGCATACATTTTTCGTTAACGTTATAAATCAAAAGGATGCTATAATAATACCAGCCCTAAATTTGGGAACGCTGAAAATGTTTGACTTGTTTACAAATATTTACTTGTAAAACGGATATAATTATGTACAAAGTAGAAATAAAACTTAAATTAATTGCATGATTTATTGAACATGGTTTAATCGAAAGTCCACTTAGTATTTACAGTTCCTACTATGTTTATCCAAGACCCGTGTATGCTGAACTGAAGGTTAGTTATCCTTTAGATTCCTTCTCGCACTCCTTAAAAGTAACATTATTAAACAGTTTTTATTCAATTTTATAAAATATAAGTAGTATAATTCAAAACTCTTAGCCATAACTGTAGGCTCTTATCTAGTGAGTAATGACATCAAAATAATTTTCAGTGGACTTGCTTATTTCTCAATTCATGTAACCAATCAAAACTAGATAGAAATGTACAGATAAAATACATTTGTAAACGTGGTTTTATTAAGGGATGTTTCAAACTTTTTTCGTGACATTATCTAAACAGAATTGGTTCGGGATGTGGTTTAATAAGTTCAAACCTAATGAATTATTCATGAGTGTATTGACATATATATAAATTATTTGTTTTTCGAGGTTTAACTTCCTACAGACGGTTAAGCCTTCATATCGTACCATCAAGTTTTTGTTGTCTTTCATTTCTGAAGAGTGTATATATATATATATTTAATGAGGAAACTTGTTTTTAAAAACTTCTGAAAGAATTTTTGCTTTTCTCGTCATTTAAGTTTCTTCAGTAGAAATTCTTTTCAGTTGCCCGAGAGAACCTAAAGTTTGACTGTGGAATGTTTGGAACAAAGTACCCGAGTTGATACTTATAATTTGAACTAGCTATTATCCAAACAATCTGTTGTACTCTAAGGGTAAACATGAGAGGGAAGTTTCTTTTATACGGCATTATTTTTACCTGAATGTGAACAAGGGCGTTATTATGATACAGAACTTAAAAGCAGCACGAAAAAATATTATCACATGATGATATCACCTATACAAACTAATACACTGTCAATGAAAATTGATCTATTTTAACAAAAACGCTTTCGCTGCCAATAGATGGCACTACACAACATTAGATTTCACAAGCTAGTAGTGTGAACTATCAATGGATAATTTATACTTAATGTATCATTCGAAGTTGTGAAAGAACCTCCAGTTTTCAAAAGTTCTAGGTTTAATTTAATTTGTTTATAAAATCTCGTCTAACGTTCTTCCCCAAAAAAGATTGGTATTGACAGTTGCACTGAATTGTTTAGCTGTCTGTTAGCAAGATAGAACCGACGACCCACAGTTATCAGCTACCTTAGCACTGCAGATTTTTTTTAATGTACTGTATGCATACTTTCATGGCCAAATGAAAAGTCACAAATATTTTATCCTGACTATAAAATATTATAATTTTACGATAATTTCCTGAAAATCAGTTCAGAAAAGGCTCGAATTTTGTTTTAAAAGATGGAAAATATTTATTACACAAATCGATGAGAAGCCTACCGGGCGTGGGTGGTTCACCTTTTGTTATTTCACGTGGAACAATTAACTTGTACAGCCAATAACTTGAAATAATAATACTGTTTCATGGTTGTTTATTTTATACAACTGCATTCTTTCTGTATGTTTAATTACTGAACTCTGTTTATATTTCTTTTCCTAGAAACAGTTTCCTCGAAGGCAAACAACCATTACTTATGTCCATCACTGGAAAAGCGGTAGCTGTACGGACATAAAACGCTCAAATCTGGGGTTCGATTCCATGATAAATCACCCATTATTCTATTTACCAAACATGACAAAATTAAATTAGGAATAAATCACACATCGTTCTATTTACTAAACACGAACGTGACAATTAAATTAGGGATAAATCACACATCGTTCTATTTACTAAACACGAACATGACAAAATTAAATTAGGAATAAATCACCCATTATTCTATTTACCAAACGTGACAAAATTAAATTAGGGATAAATCACACATCGTTCTATTTACTAAACACGAACATAACAAAATTAAATTAGGAATAAATCACCCATTATTCTATTTACCAAACGTGACAAAATTAAATTAGGAATAAATCACACATCGTTCTATTTACTAAACACGAACATAACAAAATTAAATTAGGAATAAATCACACATCGTTCTATTTACTAAACACGAACATGACAAAATTAAATTAGGAATAAATCACACATCGTTCTATTTACTAAACACGAACATGACAAAATTAAATTAGGAATAAATCACACATCGTTCTATTTACTAAACACGAACATGACAAAATTAAATTAGGGATAAATCATCCAGTTGTCTATATCTTATTTACTTAATACATGTGAATATATTCATGTGTAACGTTGTCTATAACTTATTTACTTAATACACGTGAATATGTAAAGTCAAATTTATTGAGATCCTCACATGAAAATATTTATCATAATGTACAACATTATTAGCTAGCCTACTTAAACACAGATGGTGTTCTGCTGGTGATTAAGTACTTTGCACGCCCTCTAAGTTATGGTACGTTTGTTATACAGAATTAGCTTCACTATATTACAAATTACCTTTTGGTTTTGATCTTCAAAGATAGAAGGTTAGTTCTTATTAAATAACTTGTCAAACAGATTTCAGAAGAAATAAGACGGAGAAACAGCGGCTGGGAATAAAACAACAACATTTTAGAAGTATGTCAGTTTTTCTAAACTATCATTTGACGCATGTCTACGCTATGACAACTGTATATTGATTCGAAGATGAAAAAACTTTAAAATTTTCCGTTTCTTCAATAAACAAATAACTGAAATAGCAGTATCTCTATTTCGTAAGACTTACAGCAAGTGTGGTTTGATAAAATAAGTTTCATTTAAGGACTTTAACTTTGTAAATAATTACATCTTATGATATACAACACACACAGTAAACATTAAAAATATTTTTACATCACCAACGTTAAAAATAATTGACATGTAAGAGATGTATGTTTATAACTTTAACATGTTTATAAACTGTAAGATATAAAACTCTAATGTTGTATTCAAGTAACCACTCGCTTGTTTCTCTCCAACGAACCTCGGTAAGCCTACTATTTGTCTACAGTGCCAAGGTTATAATCAAATACGTGTCAATCATTTTGTTTTGGGAAGTCAAGATCCATGAAATTGCCCCCTCACCTAACTGCACCCAAGTAAATGGCGTTTCATCATCATTTCGGGTGAAACGGTTTGGTAAATTAGGCCTGTTAGAAAATGACTCTACTGGGAAGATACAAGGATATAAACCATGGTTGAAAATGTGTTGCTATGGTAACGCGGATTTAAAAAATATTAAAGAACAAGGCAACAGAAATTTGTGTCATACGTTTGTTTTTGATACCCCCTCCCCACTCAAGTGTAAATATATATATATTTATATATCAGAAGACGGACTTAACATCATTACTACATTGTTAAATACGTAGGCCATGGTTTCAAATACTAACGCTGCTGTTGACGTCAATGGCGTGTTCCATAATGGTGTAATTAATACCAATTACTTTGAGTTTGACGTAAATGATTCGATTTACGTCAAAAATAAAATTATAGATTGATTTATTTCATGGTGAATTTATAGAAAAACTGGAAAAAAGAATCAGGAACGTTGAACAAAATGAGAAAATAGCGAAATAGTTGAGGAAGTTGTAAAATATTCAAATACTATTAAAGATATATATATATTTATTTATAGAAATAAGCCAATTAAACAACATTCACAAATTTAAGAACTTGCAAAAATTAAAATTTCAGTTAAAATTACAGAAATGTAGAATCGTTTGATCTTCATCGATCGTTTGAAAAACAAAATGTTGCTATACAAGCTAGCCCTAATAAAGTGGCTACCGAGTTGTTACAATGGCCTTAAATCAACGAATAAAATCGTTTTCAAAACTTAGGCTATTATGTATATTTACGCACGAGCGAAATGTTTAATGTTAAATACAGCAATTAATATAACTACGAGCTATTTTATAGAGCCAGACAGAAACATGGCAACACTATGGTTATTGTGTAGTCAGGAAAGTTCTAATTATACAGCAACTTAATCTAGTCGTCAACGAAAACATTGCAAAGTATCAAAAT